GTCTTGACGAGGATGCAGGCCCTGGGGTTGCTGTGACCGTTGTTGAAGTTGCCTCCGTCCTTGTACTGCGCTGCGCTGATCTGCACCTTGATGCAGGTGTTGAGGAAGTGGGATGGGTTCTGAATGCTGGGGAAATGCCGAGACGCGATGTGCCTTCCGTTGCCGTAAATGTGGTGACCGCATTTGTTCTGGTCCCAGTACCCCCCTGACAGCAGCGAGCAGTGTGCGGAGTTCACCGTCTGGACTGGCCTCGTGTCGGGCCTGCATTCAGGAGAAGAATCGAGTCAAATCAAAACGGAGTTTTTCTATAAATACAATCCACACACACACACACACAGACACACACACACACACACACACGCGCACACACACACACACACACAGAGAGAGAGAGAGAGGGGGGGGGGGAGAGAGAGAGAGAGTAGCTCAGTTGGTACATCCACGAACTGTTGAAATACAGACCCACCCAAGTTCGAACCCGGATGCTGCAATCAGATGTCAGTTCAACGATGATATCTCAAAAGGCTTCGCCTTTCAAAAAAAAAAAAGAAAAAAAAGGGCATATCTCTTAATGGCCGACGTGATTTTTGCGGCGCCCACACGGACTGCCAGCGCTTCACAAGTCCCATTAGCAAGGAGGATCGGAAGGAATGCCTGAATCTGGACGTGTTTGTGCAAAGGAGCAGCAATTCGAGATTAAACACCYYTCCTGCATGTCTGCTAAAAGCACATCCAGATTCAGGAGGAGCATCCAATGTCTTTTGCTAGTGCGACCTCGCCCCGGGAGCGAAACATTCTCAGGCCAAATGCCAGAAAGGGAAAAAAAGAGGAGGGAAACACATCCTTTCCCCCTCTTGCGCAGCCGTAAGCAAGTATGTCCGTCGCCCCCATCCCCCGCCCTGCCCTGTCCCCGCGAAAAGAAAAATTAACCGTTAGCTTGTAACGCTACGCAAGCACACACATGCATGCATGCATGCATATACCTATATCTATATCCGTACGTAAAAAATAAAAAAATAATAACAATAATAAATTAAACAAAAAAACAAAATCATGGGGCCGCGGAATCATTCAATCACGAGCGGACGGGAGGAGGGACTGAGAGAGAGAAAGGAGAGAAAGGAGGGAGAGAGAGAGAGAAGAAGGGGAGAGACGAGGGAGTGAGAGAGATAAAGTGGAGAGGTGAAGAAGTTAAAGGGCGGAGAGAGAGAGAGAGAGAGAGAGTACGGCTGAATGGCAACAACAGTTGAGCAGCTGTTAGTAAACAGACGACCCAGAAAAAGAACAGCAAATGTCTTTCTTTGAATTTCTTTCTGTCTTTCTCTTCCTTTATTCTTTCTTTCGCTCGTTCGTTCGTTGTCGCACGCAAAAA